ATGGAAATCAAGTTTATGCTGGGACAGATGACAAAGCAATAAGACAAGTGAAATCCAGCAGAAACCTTGGCTAATGGAGACATATTTCTACAATTATGAAGGAAACACAATAAGGGAAAAGGGATTCTTAACAGTAGAAATACCACCTGCACTTAAAATGATAGTCAAGGCTTTGCTTTAGGAAAGTTATATATATGAATTGTAACAGTCATACCCACTTTTAGTATATATACTTGGAATGAAGATGGCCAGTTACAGTTTTTCCAATACAATTTTGTATCAGGCAACTTTCCCCTAAAATATTTATGGTAAAATCATGAGATAAAATAATATCAGAATCAAAGGCAATATAACAATCAAAAGTCCTTCAAAATGGAGGTGTTGTATTTATTTTACATTCAAGATTTGCTGAGTGCATGTTGTGTTCTAGGCATTGCCTTGTGACCAGGAGATACTGAGATAACAGTTTTACCCTCAAGGAACTCAAAGATTAGTTGGTACAGTCTTGTGTGATGCAAATTGGTCAGGGCTAAAACTGCTATGTGAGTGTCAGTAAGTCAAGGAAATGCTCTGCTGAGGAAATTAAGTATTAAAAGAAGTTTGAAGGAGAAGATTTTCTTGCCAGACAGAGAAGGGCAGAGGAGAAGAGCCCACAGTCAGAAGGAACAGCACGCACCAGGGCAGTGAAGGGTAAAGCTCACTGTATCTGATGGTGTGCAAGGGAGAAAACGCAGGACATGGGGTCATTAAAAACTAAGTGGGGCTTGTGAAGGGCTTTGTATTACCTGCTCAAAAAGATTGCATTTTCTAATATGAGCGTCAGAAACATTTAAGTATTTTATGCTGCTGTTGAGGTAAGTGGGAAAACTTAGGCTCATTTGATCAGAAGAATTTTGTTTGTTTTAATTGACATATCTCTTTGCAATTAAGTTGTATTTTGAAGACATATCCTTTTTTTATTAATTATACGTTAAGTTCTAGGGTACATGTGCACAACGTGCAGGTTTGTTACATATGTATACATGTCTTCTTAAGTGGATAGGGTTTTGTTCACAAAGTAGCCCCAACAATCCTTTTTTAGCAAATGAGTGTCTTCTTACCATGCTATAGAGAAGCACTTGCACCACCACCCTCAGATAGTAGCAACACTGCATTCTTTGCCTTCAACATTTGATCAAGACTGAGATCTTTCCTGTTTTAGAATAAATTTTGATAGCAAGCACAGCAGGAAGCAGTAAACAAAAATGCAGTAAAACTTTGTGGCATTTTCTGTGGCAGTATGTTGTCACCTTTACTGTCACCACCGTCTCTACTTCTAGGAAATGCCATCTCTCCTTGTGACAGCTGGCTTTGTCATGGTAAAAAGAGAGATCCTTTACTTAACACAATTAATTCCCTCATGCAACTTTAATAAGGTTCAAGGGTGTATCCCCAGAGACACAGTGACAGGAATCTTCCCTAACATAAATTGATTATTTCCCTCTAGAGTTAAAGAAATCTGTTTCCTTGAGTTCCTTGCTCCTTTTAGTTCAAGCTAGGATGGTAATTTGTTTTCTGAAAATGTTAGTGCTTGTTTATGTTCCTGGATCCTGTCAAGACTCTGGATTCCCATTCAAAGTTCATGGCCTCAAAGTTGTGCAAATGCATGGTAAGCCAGGCACAGAAAGACAAATACTGCATGTCCTCACTCGTTTGTGGGAGCTAGAAAAATATATCTCACAGAGGTAGAGAGTAGAATGATGATTACCAGAGGCTGGGAAGGGAGAGGTGAGGATGAAGAGAGGTTAGTTAATGGGCACAGAAGTACAGTTAAATAAAAGGAGTAAGTGCCATTGTTTGACAGCATAGTAGGGTGACTATAATTAACAATAATTTATTGTGTATTTCAAAATATCTCGAAGAAAATATTTGAAATATTCCCATCACAAATAAATGATAAATGTTTGAGATAGTGGTTATACTAATTATCCTGAGTTGATCATTGCACACAGTATTCATATATAAAATATCACATGCATCCTATAAATATATATGATTATTATATATCTGTAAAAAAAAGAATGTGTCTATGCAAAGGTATTTCAATCATGGAAAAATATCTGTTTATTTTGAAAACTAGAAAAATAGTTCATCAGAAATAGGTCTATTAACATATCTGTTTCCAGTTCTTACCCTGAGGAAACTGTTTTTGCATTCATATAGTTTGCTATGAAGATATTTTACTGTGTTTAATCAGTCTCCTATTTTTTTAGAGATGACGCTATTTACTTAATGTTGAATTAACATTTCACACAGCTTTTTACTCATGAGGCTACCTTTCTGTGTCATTGTGCTCTTTACATGTTCTGACCACATTAGGAAAAATCTCTCAACCCTTTCTTAAGCAATATTTCTTTTTCCACATGATAACATTCTATAACAGAATGAATACCGAACTTAGAAGTCCTAAATTCTAGACTGAAGACTGTCATTCATGAAATAAGTGACCTTAAAAATGTCCTTTCACCTCTAAGTCTTATTGCTCCCATTTTACAAGTTGAGAAATAATAATACATCCCTGCCTGTCTTAGCACTTTTTTGTAGATCCAATAGGGAAAATGTACCTGAAAGCACATTGTATAAATTTACAAACATACAAACATTTGTTGAATAACATAAGTTCATGTGCCTAAAATTCAAAATTGTTCTTCAGAGACTGTGCCTTTATTTAATTCTCAATAGAAGGTCAATTCAAAGCATTTTTATTGGGAAGTGAACTAATGTAGCCCTGGTGAGCTTCACACAGGAATTTAGCTTGGACAGCCTATATGAATGGATGGCTAATGTGCCTCTTTAACCATCTCATTTAGTGGCAGCCTTGTCTTCTGAAATTATAAGAGTTAATCAATTTAAGATGGAACCCTTGTGAATGTAGATAGTGCAAAGATCCTGGGGTAATGATTTAAGTGTGATTCATGTGCTTTAGAATTGAAGTTTGGCAGGTCATGAAATTGACAACCTGTAGTAAAGATTTCAAAGCATATTGAATTTTTCTCATATTCATTGTTTCACTTCTCAAATGTGGGACTGAGAGATGTTGTTGTCTTCAGAAATTTTAGATTTGCTGAAAAGCCTAGACAAGTATTCAGTGGAATCCCTTGAGTTTCAGGCCAGCGGAAGGGCAGAAATAGTTTTGGCCTGGCAATTTCAAGACAGGTGTTACCAGTTGGTTGCCCGAACCATGGAAGAACCTCCTTCTGGCCTTTTTTAAAATGCCTGACTTTGAGCAGTGTTACCTCCTGATGGACCTGCCAGGGAGAATTAGTTTCAGAATGCACTCACAGTAAGTAGACTGAATTAAGTTGCTGGATGAATTAGGAATATGTACTTAGATGTTGAAGAATGTCTGCCCAAAACAGCAGTCTTGAATGAATCTTCAGTTCAATGAAGTTGAACTACCTCTTTTTGTTTCCTGATTATATTTAGCCCATAGGTTCATTTGCTCCCATTAGCGTTTTGTGGTTCATGACAGTACAATAAAGTCATAGAAAGTCCTTTATAAAATACAAAGTATTGTAGCAATGAAGGCAAAGTATTACATTATGTTAGTTATATGAATATAACCAAAGACTAGAAAATATATGTGTGTGTCCTGCTTTCTGAAATATGTTTTCCTCAATTTGAAGAATACATATCTTTTAGAAAAGCCAACTTTAAGTGAAATTCAATTTTCTGGTGTTCTTCCATGATTCAAATACTGATGTGGTCATTAGGAAAATAAATTATCTGAAGAATTTTATTATGCGTTTTAAGTGTAAAACGAAGACTCTTCAACGATTCTTAAGTGTTTGGGGGCTGTGAAAGCTAAATGTCTCACCTAGAAAACAGAATGAAGTACATACAACACAATTTGTTGTTCTATAATTCCATGGGGTTTCAGGTTCACTGATGGGTTCCAGGACTCTCAGACACTCTGCAGTGCTTATCTCTACTTATCTGCATTGCAGGTCTTTTTATTTCTTTCCAACTCTCATTCCATAGCTTTCCCTTTTTCTGCAAACTTTCTCTGTAGCAAATCTGGTATGAATTCTTCTGTAGCAACCTCACCATCACTGAAGGCCACTTTGTCTCTGGCCTATAATAAGCATAGGCTTCAACCAGAAATGGCAAGAGTGAGACCTACCATTCATTCACCAGGTGTCTACTCCAAATAGGTAGTAGTGCTTAGTGTGCTGAGTGCTTTACATGCAATTTCTCCACTCCACATTGTTTTGAAGCGTCCGATGATTTTTGTGCACTATCGTGCATCCCATTCACCCAGAGTGAGCAGAGATATCATCAGTACTTAAGAGATGATGGATCCATATCTCTCATTCTGTTTAAGAATCCCAAATCACTGATTAAGATCCCCAGACTACTTATGCCCCTCTAGGATCTTTCAGAATGAGGACGTCTTTAGATCAGGATGTATGTTCATTCAGATGCCTAACCTACCCAGTCACCCCTTGGGCTTGGTTGGAGTTGGAGCAGCTTTTCAGGCTTTCTTATTAAGAAATTTCTTTTTCATGGCTCACACCTGTAATCCCAGCACTTTGGGAGGCCGAGGTGGGCAGATCACAAGGTTAGGAGATCAAGAGCATCCTGGCTAACATGGTGAAACCCCGTCTCTACTAAAAATACAAAAAATTAGTCAGGCGTTGTGGCAGGTGCCTATAGTCCCAGCTACTCGGGAGGCCAAGGCAGGAGAATGGCGTGAACCTGGGAGGCAGAGGTTGCAGTGAGCCGAGATCACGCCACTGCACTCCAGCCTGGGCGACAGTGCGAGACTCCGTCTCAAAAAAGAAAAAGAAAAAAAAAAAGAAATTTCTTTTTCACCAAGCAAATGCTAAAATGTTTAAAAATAAATAAGTAGGAATAAAAAAAAACCAAAAGAAATATCACTTCCCTGCTTCATTTCTCTGAAATTTGGTCATGACTTTGCACCTCTAACTATTGCCTTTCACTTTGCTTTATCCACATAGGTAACAACATTGACTCAGGAAGTTTCTCAGTTGGGTAAAGACATGAGAAATGTGATCCAGCTTCTGGAAAACGTTCTGTCACCTCAGCAGCCATCACGGTTTTGCTCTCTGCACAGCACCTCTGTGTGTCCCTCCAGGGAGAGCTTACAGACCAGAATGAGCTGGAGTGTGCACCAGCCTTGCCTACACTTGCAAACAGGCGGGGCTGCCTATACGCAAGCACAACTTTGTAGCAGTAATATCACCTCAGACATTTGGAGTGTGGATCCCTCCTCTGTGGGGAGCAGCCCCCAACGAACTGGAGCTCATGAGCAAAATCCTGCGGACAGCGAACTTTATCATTCTCCAAGCCTTGATTGTTCACCTGCCCACTACCAGGTTGTCCAAGAAGGTCATTTGCAATTTTTAAGGTGCATCTCTCCACATTCAGATTCTACGCTGACACCTCTGCAGTCCATTTCAGCAACTCTCTCATCCTCTGTCTGCTCCTCTTCGGAGACATCTTTGCACCTAGTTCTCCCAAGCAGATCAGAGGAGGGCAGCTTCAGTCAGGGAACTGTGAGTTCCTTCAGTCTGGAAAACTTACCAGGATCTTGGAACCAGGAAGGAATGGCATCAGCGCCTACAAAACCTTTGGAGAACTTTCCACTGGAAGTTGTCACAAGCACAGCAGAAGTGAAAGATAACAAAGCCATAAATGTATGATATTAGTGCCCATGAAGCAGCTGCTAATTTCAAACCTACCACTGCATGACAGTTTTAGTTTGCCTTTTTTGCCTCTGGTGGGTAGGAAGACTGAGCAAAGCTGGGAATCCTGCAGAAAAGAGTGTGAGGGGTCAGGGAAAGGCAGAACCACCTCCATGCTGTAGCAAACAATTTCTAGATGCTAGAAGCATAATAGAAACATTCTTCTGTACAGGTATTAAACTACTGGTCTGTTTGACAGACATTGGTAACAATCCAAAGACCCTGAGGGTCTGAGCAGCTAGAAGTCCTAGACAAAGAATTTGTGGATGACTTTTGTCCCGGGTGGCTTTTGTGAAGTGTGGCAAAGGTTTTTCATGAGTGCCTGATTGTCATTCCTGAACAATATCCATAGCACTGTTGGCCTCAGGAGTGTACAGCTCCTGCTGATCTATTTTTCTTTTTGTGAAGGCAAAGGGACAATTATCACTGCATGTCATCTCCTAGACAATCAGTCAAATAGAACTGGTGGCCAATTGTTAGCTATTCGCACGTTATTTGCCATGTAAATGAAAACGTCTTTATTTATCAAAAAAAACACAGAGGCTATTTTTATATCCTTGGTATGAAATATGTATTTAAACTATTTAAATATTTATAAAGAAATGAATGTTTTCTTTTCATTTTGGTAAAAAAAAAAAAAAGCTTGCTGTTTTAACAAGAAATGCACTACTGTTGTGTATAGTAGATCAAAAATTATTTATTACTAAGAGGATGTAGTTTCCAAAGGAATCCCCCATTTTCTCTGCATGTAGTTTGCAACAAATGTATTCTCATGCTTCTGGATTATAAAAGAAAAGTGAAGTCATATTTTGTTGATGAAATAAAAACATGGACTGAGTGTCAACTACATGAGCTTTGGCATGGGGGTAGACAGGCTCCATCTAGGCTCTGCCGACTCATGTCAATGACCTGATTCAAGGTCGTTGTGCCAGCAGAAATGTCTGTCCTCTAGGCATCATATTTTGTGGCTCAAGAATTCAAAATGGGTCTGTGGACATAGGGCAATTTTGGACTCAAAGTGAGGGAGAAAACCTGGGTGTGTCCTTTCCCAGTGCTTTTCTTTTACAAGAGGTAGTAGACCAGTGGAAATCCCCAAATGGAGCCAAGACTTCTGAGCTGTAACTTGTGGGAGTAATACCAGCTTGCAGTGGGTCAGCACTTTACCTTTTTTCTTTAAGGCTCCACAACGCTATGCAGTGCAGTTGCTTTCATTCCTATTTTTCATAAATCTCAGGGGAAGTCCCAGAGATTACACAGTTAGGAATGCTGACACAGTCTAGAATCCATAATGTTCCCTACATCTCTCACTAACAGGCAAATTCAGATGCTGGGATTGGCAATGATTTAAGCACCTTCACTTAAGTTTTATGTTATGTTTTAGAACAGTTATGGTCTAATTGTCTTGGACATTTTGGGAAGACATATTGGGTTCACATTCTGGAGTTCTCTATTTTCCACCACAAAGAATAAACAATCTGAGAATTGTATCATTAAAAGTATCTAAACACACCAAGACTTCTGATGTTGTGTGAATCTTGCACCTTAAAACTGGATAGAACAGCAGAGAGAAAAGATATCTTTTCTAAGAAAAATGAACACAGGACATGTTTATAAGGCAGGTCACTCAGGACTCAATGCCTTCTACTTTCCTCCTCTCCAAAATTCAGTCTTTCCCTAAGTTAAGGCGAAAAGTGAGACAAAGGCAGCATTCTAGATTTCATGTATTCATTTACATTCTCCCTTCTGCTCCTCTTGACCTGTGTAATCATTTTAAGTGCAGTTCAAAAAGAGTTAACTGGTGTTGGCTCACAGGTGTCCTTCCGGCAAATTACACTGCTATTACTAATGCTAACAAGAATAACTGGCATTCTGTTTCTTGAGTACTGACTTTGTACCAGTCAGTTTTTAGGAATTAATACACATTATACTTCCTCGTGTATTAATCAAACACTGCTAACAGTTACTTATTTGTTATTATTATCCCTATTTTACAAGTGAATAATTGAGGCACAGATTTTTTTTTAACTTGCCCAGTCACATTTTTTTAAATGATTGATAGACTCATGGCTGCTCTAAGTACCTCTCTCTTCATGTTCACATGCATGCTTGTTGATCTTTGAAACTTTACTAATAATTACAATTGACCACTGAACAATGAGGGGCAAGGGGGCTGGCCCCACACACAGTTAAAAATTCATATATAACTTTTGACTCTCCAAAAATTTAACTTTAATAGCCTATTGTTGACTGGAAGCCTCACTGATAACATAAACAGTTGATTTACATACATTTTGTATATTATATGTATTATATACTGTATTCTCACAATAAAAAAGCTAGAGAAAAGAAAATTGTATTAAGAAAATCATGAAGAGCCAATATGTTTACTCTTCATTAACTGGAAGTGGATCATCATAAAGGTGTTCATTGTCATAGTCTTCACATTGAATAGGCTGAAGGAGGAAGAGGAGTCTTGCTGTCTCAGGGGTGGCAGAAGCTGAAGAAAATCCTCATACGAGTGGATCATGCAGTTCAAACCCATGTTGTTCAAGGGTCAACTACCACTTTTTTCAAAATCAGTGAATAAAATATTTGAGTTATTTTTACAATGCAAGTAAACAAATAGGATTAATTAGCTAAGTTCTTGGGATTTGGGGATGTTCCCGTGAATTGGCTGGAAACAAGCCCATATTTTCCATCCAATCACCTTCTCTGTATTTACTCAACATCTGACTTCAGCAGGCATGAGAACCAGCTCCCTGACCTGCATGGAGCTGCAGCTGGACAAAAGTGAGCAAGCACCTGGGAGGAGAGAGGGCTCCCATGCATTTCTTCCAAGAGGACCTCTGCCTCATCCAAATCAGTCCCATTTTATTCCTTATGGACACTTTCCCCCATCTACTCTGACAAATAGGACTCTCCCATATCCAGGGCAACTCAGGATGATACAGTTTAGTTCTATTTTGTTTAAGTATGTGCTAATAATATTCTAGAAAGTGAGAATTTCAAGTTTTCCTAGATGTTTCATTGTCCAAGCATTGTAGCTGCATAAATAGCAAAAGCCCTTGTTTTCTTATCAGGGATGCATTTTTGAGCCCCTCCATTTTCTTCACCTACTCGCCCTCTGCTGAAGGAACATCCCAGGAACCCAGAGGCAACAAAAGCAGTTACTTTCTTGGTCAAGGTAGTTTTTTTTTATTATTATTATGTTGAGAATAAATATCTTCTATGCAATTCTAATTAAAACGAGAGAGATTATGCAAAACTTCATAGTAATTCTGATAGAAATTAATAAGAAGAAATTTCTGATAATTCCGGCTACTTACAAATGGAGTTTATTGTTTATCCCCAATAAAGTGTCCTCTCAGAGGCTGCATGAGTATTTGACAGGAACAGTTTTTCCAGAAGGGCTGTGCATTGGATGTGAAGTTAGCAGAATGCCTACATCACAACCACAGGGAGTATATATTTGAAATGCAGAAAATCTAGCTTCAAGCCAGCTGCTTTGGATGGGTCCTGAAACTCTACCATTTAGTAAACTTCCTGCGTGACTCAAATCTAAAGGCTGAGAAGTATTGGTCTAGAATCTATAGAAGTACAAGTCTGAGTCCTAGCTAATCTGTATGTAAGTAGACAACTATTGAAATTCTATTAAGGACAGCCCAGAGTCTGTAATTGTATAATAAAGAAAGTTGATTAACTCCTAAATCAGTAGTCCTCCAACTATAGTTCAAATAATGTATTTCTGGAGGATCTTATTAAAAGAGAGATTTCAGGGCTCCAGCTCCTCGGACATGAGCTAAGTCCCCAAGTGATTCTAATATGTATGTTCCAAGAAATAAATTCTGAAAACATTGTCCTAAGAAGTACAACCATTCCTTTTACAATGAGCTAGTTCTGTGAGAAGATGGACCATCTAGAATCAAACCAATTAAAACCGACAAGTTTCTTTCTGTACAGTTCCAAATACATCAATGACTTTTTTTAGTCAAAGTAACTGATATCTTTTCTCCAAGAGAGCTTTGAACATGCATCAATTACTTCAATGAAAAATGATTGTCTACTGTGTGTCTTGCACCACTTATACCTCTTGATTTGTTGTAGATCTTTGTTTTCTTGTTTCATTTAGATTTTCTAGAAGAAAAAAGAAAAGTGAAAATATCTTCTGAAGTTTCAAAAACGGGTCAGTTATCTGATAGGAATCATATTTGTATGTGAAGCAAGATAACTATTTGGTCAGTAGATGACAGTTGCTGTGGATGTCCCCTATGTGAAATGGAATTGCTAATGTTAAGATTGTGATTTTATTCATAACAATGAAAACAGCCTGCCCCAAATAGTTCTTGCTAAAGCTACTTATTCTCATGGCATATATAGCTCATTTTCTAAGGTCATCTTTTTAAGACGTTGCTTTTATGTCTTCTTTTCTAAGTATATAGTGCTTCAAATGTAGTCTTCTCTTAGACACCATCATCACTGAAAATAGAACTTGGGTACATATGTAGGCACAGGCCTTATTAAAGGCTCTTCCAAAAGGCTTTCCTTTGCCTATTTATTTCACTTTATACAAAAGCAAATGGTCCAAATAAATATTAAGCTGAGAAAGGAGCAGGAGTTTTGGAAGAACACAAAGGAGTGTTTGCCTCCAACCATTTTTTCTTGCTCTGTGATCTGGACAGTTATTCAAGACATCTGAGCCTCAATTTCTTCTAAAACTTGAAGAATAAAATACATCCAATTTTCAGAGTCTTCGTGAGAGTTAATGAAGGAATTTTTGTGAAGGCACACTTCCCGACATACAATAAACGCTAAATAAATGTCAATTTATCTTCCTGACCTTTCATCCCCTGGTTCCTAACCTATTTCCTCCTCCTCCCCTCATCTCCTTCTGCCCTCTCCTTCCTGATTTTTTCACCTTTCCTTGCCCCCACCCTCCTCTTCCCCAACTTCTTCCTGGC